ACTAAATCACTACAGATTTTATTCACCTACACACATTTATGTTTTTGACACTATTTTATCTCTTTTATGTGGGTTTGTTTGTATCCCATAACTTATGGTTGTAATTAAACATAATCTTCCAATTTCTGCCTTTATAGTTGATTAATCCACTGCTATTACTCTTGCCTTTGTCATTGCGATATTTTTCTTTCCTATACTTTCTTTTTCATATATTTTATATTTTTTTCTTAAAAAGTCCCTTTACTATTTCTTGTGATACTGGCCTTGTGGTAATAAATCCCTTTAGATTTTCTTATATGGTTATCTCTTTACCTCTGCTTAGATTTTAAATGATACCTTGTTGGCTAGAGTAACTTTGGTTGAAGGTCTTGGTCTCTCATAAGTTTGAATAATCTGTACCAGTTCCTTCTGGCCTGCAACATTTCAGTTGAGAAGTCAGCTCACAATCTTTTGGGGGCTCCCTTGTAGGTAACAGATTGTCTTTTTTTGTGTGTGTGGCTCTTAAGAGTCTCTTTGTCTTTAGACAATTTAGCATTCTACTTATGATGTGTTTTGGTATGGACCTCTTGGATTCATCTTGTTTGGGACTTTCTGTGCTTCCTAGATTTGTATGTCTGTTTCCTTCACCAGGTTAGGAAAGTTTTCCATAATTATTTTTTCCATATGTTTTCAATTCTTTGCTCTCTCTCTTCTCTGAGCACCTCAATGATGCAAATGTTGGTACACTTGAAGTTGTCCCAGAGTATCCTTATACTGTCCTTATTTTTTTCTCTTTTGATGTTTTAACTGGATGTTTTCACTACCTTATCTTGCAAAGCAGTGATTCAGTTCACTGTTTCATATAATCTGTTGTTAATTCAATCTAATGTATTCTTCATTTCAGTTATTGTATTCCTCAGTTCTGTTATATTTTCTACCTTTATGATGTTTCCTATATCTGTACTGAAGCTCTGAGTTCATATACTCTTCCTCAATGTTAATTGAGCATTCTTATAAACTGTATTTTAAACTCTGCTTCTAGTAGATTGCTTCTTTTTCATTTTGTTCTTTCATTCTGGAGTTTTGTTCTGTTCTTTAATTAGGAACATGGTTCTCATCTCATTTTACTGATTGCCTGTGCTTGTTTCTATATATTAGGTAGATCTGTTATGTTTCCCTGTCTTAACAGAGTGGCCTTATAAAGTAGATGTCATATAGGGCCCAGTAGTGCATTCTCCCTGGTCACCGGAGTCATGTGCTCCAGAGATGTCTTCTAAGTGGTTTGTGTGAGCTCTCCTATTGTATTTGGGCATTGATCGCTGGTAGCACATTAGTGGGTGGAAATTAATCCTCAGGATGACTGCCTGTGAGGGCCTGCAGCAACTACAGAGGAGAAGCTGTTACACAGGGCCTGACCCCACAGAGTGTCATTTGCTTTGTTGTGATTCTGGTGCCAAATGAGGCCATCCTTCTGATATGTAAATTGTGGTTCTGGTTGGGTAGGGTTTGGCTGTAATCTGAAGCCGTATATTGTGTATATACACAATATATGAAGGCATATATTGTGTCTGGAGCATCTTGGGAAATGCTCTCTTTTGGGCCTATATCAGCTGCCATTTGTGCCAGGCTTGGGTCCACTTGTCAAGAGCTACAAAGTGATGTGAGGTTGCTTGCTGCTTGTGCTTGGGTTGGAGGTGCTTGGGAGAGTGTGAATTGAGCCAGGTTGAGACTTGTACTGGACTTGGGACACTTTGGTGGGCACCACAATGCAAGCTGAACCTGGTAACTGCTTGTGTTGTTTGTGGACCTTTGAGAGAGTCTGAAGCCAGCAGTTGTGTGAGATTCACAGATTTTGAGGAAGGTCTGTAGCGAGAGATGAGACAGACTATTTATGTGGTGGAGCCTCTGGAAGAGGCTGGGGCCAGGTGACAGAGTTGGGTGGGGTGGAGTCTCTGGGAGTGACCAGGGTAGAGAGAATTATATTAGCCAGGTTAATTGAGATTGATCACCTACCTGTGTTGGGTCACCTGGGTAGGGAGAGAGCTCCACAAAAGAACAATGGTGCCTGCTGGCACTCTTGTCTCTGGAGTTGCCCCAATCTCTCTCTCCAGCCTTCAACTTGAAGTTAGTTAATTTAGTTTTTCTATATCTGTCCATGGCACTTTTCAAGTTGTTCCTCATGTGCTCAAGTTTAGAGTGAGTGAGCTTTTGAGCAAGCAAATCTGTGTGCAGGCCATTTAAGAGCAGTGCCTTGCTCTCTAGCAGCCCTTTGTCTTTCTTGCATGTATTTCCCCTGATGAGTCTCTTCTTCCCAGCACTGGTGCTCCTGGTTGGGGAGGCTAGTGTGGGGCTGGCACCCCTTACTCCTTATGGGGGACCTCTGCTTCTGAGATACCCCTTCCAATTTTTAATCACCACTCATGGGTGTGAGACCAGCCTGTTCTATATTTCTGCCCCTCTAGCCTTCACATGACTTCTTCTTTATATCCTTATTCATAGGAGTTCTGTTCAGCTAGATTTAAGGTGTTTCTCAGTGATGCCTGTTCTATAATTTAGTTATAATTTTGACGTGGTCATGGGAAGAGGAGAGCTCAGAGTTTACCTACTCCATCTTGACTACATGCTCTTCATTTACCATTTCTTTTATTTTTCTTTATTTCTGAAGATTAAAGTTTCTATCAAGTATGATTTTCCTTTAACCTGAAGATTTTTTTTTAAATTTTAGCATTCTCTGTAAATCAAATTAGCTGGTGACAAATGTTTTGTCTTTGTCAGTCTAGAAATATATTTTGCTTCACGTGTATTCCTGAAAATTTTTTTCCATTAAATATGAGGAAGGGAAAAATGTATACTCCTCCTATGTTTCTGCTCCACTCTCAATACTCTCCTATACTCACAGAACTTCACATCTGACATCATATATGTGGTTTTTCCATATATCAAGCAATTTTTTCTAACATCAGCTGAATGTCTTATAATGTAATTCAATCCTGATACTAACTGTGGTTAGTACAGACCCTACAGGTTAAGGGCTTAGTCCCTCAAGAGAACTTTCCACTTTTGTCAACACTTCAAGTAGGTTTCTAGATTACCCAGAAATTTTGTCTACCTTTGCTACAAATTGATTGCTCTCAAGACCTCCTCCTTGGTTTCAATCATTTGCTAGAACAGTTTATAGAACTTAAACATAAATCACATTTACCAGTATTATATAATACACAATATGAGAAAGGATATAGTTGAACAGCCAAATGAGAGATACATAAGACAAGGTCTGGAAGGGTCCCAAGGGCCAGAACATTCTCCCTGTGGAGTTGGGATACCCCACCCTCCTGGTACATGGTTCTGTTCACCAACCTGAAAGCTCTCTGTATCCCATACTTTTGGCATTTTATGGAGGCTTCATCATATAGGCATGACCAATCATTAACTTTATTTCTAGCCCCTCCTTCTTTACCAGGGAGTGGGGGAAGGGCTGAAACTTCCAAGCTTCTAATTGTGACTTGTTCTTTCTCATGACCAGCCCCCATCCAATAGCCCTTCCAGAGCCATCTGATTAAAATGAAATACATTTCTATTCCCCAGGAAATTCCAAAGGGTTTTGGAACTCTATGTCAGATAGCCCTTTAAAGATACTCCTCCATTTTTTCTGGCCCAGATTTATTTTTGTGATACTTTCTGATGAGAAGTTTGCAGGTATTTAAATCATTGTTCCCTGTGGGGGCGAGTTTCCTCGAAAGTCCCCCCATGTGCCCCCATGAGAGTAAATATGACTGAGACATGATGTGATCTGCTTTGGGAGGAGAAGTGGCCAGTTTCCTAGAGGAAAAAGGCCGTGAGCAGTGGCCAGGTTCTCAGGGGAAAAAGGCAGAGAGCCCCTTCCTCCAAGGGCTTTTATTGGATCCTATTACACAGGAATACAGGGCAGCAAGGATCAAACAGTAGATAACCTTTCAAAGAACTCTGAGGGCTTAGTGTGAGTCAGTGTCTGTCAGGAAAGTGGGTTGCAAAACTTTGAGGAGACATACTCATTTCCTCTCAAACCCTTATGATATATGAATGAAAGCACTCTTAGCAGAGCAGATTTCACAAGTTTGTCAAGAAGTCTTTGTGATGCCAGATTTTTCCCCAGGACAGGCTCTAGCAAGACAAGAAGCTGCACCGCTCCCCATCAGGTATTCAGGCTTAAGGGGATTAGAGCCAAGAAGCACTTCTCCCAGAGGACATGGGGATCTCAAAGCCGGGGGGGGGGTGGAGGGGATGAGAGTTCATTGCTTTGTTGCAGCCCCCCAAGTCCTTCCATGATGGTCTCCCAAGTGGTCCTGTCTGGCCTAGGTTGCCCTCCTCTGAAGGGTCTTACTCACCATGGACTTCTGACCAAGCTTTGAGGGCAGGGAGGAAACTGAGGCAGCATTTGCTACCAGAGACAAGCTTTGTCTCCTGCAGCTCACATTCCAGAAGTCGCTGGCCTTTAGCCACAGGGGGTAGAGTTACAATTCCTAGAACCAGGCAGAGCGGTCCACAACACTTCTCCTTGAAGATAGAGACCCTGTCGTGGATCTTGTTCAGCATTACTTAACACAGTGCCTGATACAGAGTTGGTGTAAAATAAATATTTCTTGAATTTATTTTGATCGTATTAAATTTTTAGTACATTAATATAAAGAGGCTTATTAGCATTCCATTTTGGTAGAATCTGTTTCCTATATGTATTACTGCTGTTATATTTTATAATACAAGGTCATTTTAGTAGGCTTAAATTATCTCATGAAAGAAAATACCATTACCAACTTTCTGAAATAGTCTGTTTCCTCAGTTTTTCCTTGGTTAATTGGTTTCCTTTTCTTGTAAAAGAAAAACTGAAGGCAAGCACCCTCTGCCGCCAGGCATTTTTGCATAGAAACTACTCATTTAATGAAATAATGGACAGTTAAGGGACACCCAGAAAGTACTGAGTCAAAAAGATGACCTGAGAAAATTCTGTGTTTTATAACATTTCATTTGATGTTTAATGTACACAGAGAGAATTAAATACAGCAGAGATTTCCTGCTGAAGCTCTCAAGTATTTCCATCTTCAGGAAAAAAACAGACTGTCTGCCTGATCATCTTATTGTACTTCAAAAATCAGTAAGTGCTTTTCTAATTTTGATTCCAAAATATTTGTCATTGATATTTTCATTTTGTTGTCTCTTGATTTTTAATTGTTCTCATTGTGAAAATAATTCAGAAAAGTACGTAAATGTAAATGTATGATATAACCAATTTCTATATGTAATTCCCACTCTAGTGAATAAATAGAATGAACTTGTTGTATTTTAAGAAAATGCAACAGGTTATGAAAAGAGCATGCCATATTTTCTCCTAAAAGTACTATTGTCTTGTTTTCCAATTAAGTTCAATAATCCACCTGGAATTGATTTTGCTGCATGATATGAGGTAAAAGTCTTTTTTTATTTTCCTCTATGTAGATCTCCAGTCATCCTAGCAATATTTATTTGTTTGTTTGTTTATTATATTGTATCAATTATGCTATTGTAGTTGTTCAGTTTTTACCCTCTCCACCCAGTGTCCCCTACTCCCTCAGGCAATCCCCACACCATTGTTCAGGTCCATGGGTCATGTGTATAAGTTCTTTGTCTACTCCATTTCCTATACCGTACTTTACTTCCCCATAGCTATTCTGTAACTACCTATTTGTACTTCTTAATACCCTCATCTCTTTACCCATTCCTCCATACTTACTCCCACCTGACAGACATCAAAACAGTCTCCATATCCATGCTTCTGTCTCTTTTTTCTTATTGATTTCATTTGTATTTTTTTTAATTTATATTTAGAGAGAGAGGAAGAGAAGGAGAGAAAGATCAATGTGTGATTGCCTCTCGTGTGCCCCCAAGTGGGTACTTGGCTTGCAACCCAGGCATGTGCCCTGACTGGACATTGAACCAGTGACACTTCATTTGTCTTTTAGATTCAGTTGTTGTTAGATATGTATTTATTTCCCTTTTATTGTTTATATTTTTGATCTTTTTCTTAAATAAGCCTCCTTTATTGTTTCATTGTTTATTTTTCTTTTTTATTTTTAATTTTTAAAAGATTTTATTTATTTATTTTTAAAGAGGGTAAGGAAGGGAGAAAGAGGGAGAGAAACATCAATGTGTGGTTGCCTCTCAAGTGCCCCCAGCTGGGGACCTGGTCCACAACCCAGGCATGTGCCCTGACTGGGAATTGAACCTGTGACCCTTTGGTTCACAGGCCAGCCCTCAATCCACTGAGCCACATCAGCCAGGGCTATTTTAAAATTTTTCTATTACAGTTGTCTCAATTTTTCCCTCATTGCTCTAACCTGCCCCACCCACCCCCTGTTCTTTCAGTCAGACTGCATCCCATTGTCCATTACCATGGGTGCTTTGTATGAGTTCCTTGACTAGATCTTTCTCCTTCTTTCCCCTGTTATTCCTCCCCCCACCTTCGGTCACTGTCAGTTTGTTCCTTATTTTCATGTCTCTGCTTCTATTTTGCTCATTTGGTTTTTTGTCCATTAGGTTCAACTTATAGGTAAGATCAGATGGTATTTGTCTTTCACTTCCTGGCTTATTTCACTTAGTATAATGCTCTCCACTTCAATCCATGCTGTCACAAAGGGTAGGAGTTCTTTCTTTCTGCTATGTACTATTCCATTTTGTAAATGTACCACACGGTTTTTTGATCTATTTATTTACTGATGGACACTTAAATAAGTCCCTTAAACATTTCATATAATATTGGTTTGGTAATGATGAACTCCTCTAGTTCTTTTCTGGTCTGAGAAGCTCTTTACCTGTCCTTTGATTCTAAATATTTTTGCAGGGTAGAGCAATCTTGGCTGTAGGTTCCTGCTTTTCATGACTTTGGATATTTTTTGCCAGTGCCTTCTAGCTTGCTAAGTTTTGTTTTGTTTTATTTTGTTTTTTGAGCAATCAGCTAACAGTCTAATGGAAACACCTCTGTAGGTAACTAACTACTTTTCTCTTGTTACTTTTAAGATTTTCTCTTTATCTTTAACCTTTGGCAATTTAATTATGATATGTCTTGGAGTGGGCCTTTTTGCATCCATCTTGTTTGGAACTCTGTGCTTCCCGAGCTTGCACATCTATTTCTTTCACCAAATTAGGGAAGTTTCATTTCACTATTTTTCAAATAAATTTTCCAATTTCTTGCTCTTTCTATTCTCCTTCTGCTCTTTCTTATTTTCCAAATCATTGATTTAATTTTTCACTTCCTCCCCTCTACTGTTGTTTCTCTATAATTCGTTTTTTATTTCAATTAGTATATCCTTCATTTTGGACTGGATCTTTCTTTGTCTCCTCATTTTGATGTCCTCCCTGTGTTTGTTTCTATGTATTAGGTAGAGCTGGTATGATTCTCTGTCTTCATAGCATGACCTAATGTAGTAGGTATCCTGTAGGGTCCAGGGGCACAGCCTCCCCATCACCCAAACAGGGTACTTGAGGTGTTTCCTTCATGTGGACTGCATATACCTTCCCCTTGTAGTTGAGCTCTTATTCCTGTTGGAAGGTCAATGGGAGGGATTTACGCAAGGACTCAATCTTTCCTGGTTTTTGCAGCCAGAAAACTAGGGGACTTATGGGGACTTATCTTCCTGGTACTGGAACCCTGGGCTTGATGGCCTATTGTGGGGCTGGGACTCCTCACTCCTGAAACATACCTTCCAAATTTGTATCCACCACATGTCTATGTGAGACCAGCCTGTTCTCTTCTCAGCCCCTGCTACCAGCCTGGATGGATATGGTTTCTTTAATTCTGTAGTTGTCAGACTCCATTCAACTTGATTTCTTATAGTTCTGAGTGATGGTTGTGTTCTATAGTTCAGTTGTAATTTTGATGTGGCTTTGCAAGGAAGCAAGCCCTATTTACCTATGCTGCCATATTAATTGGAATTCAAACCTGATATTTTGGTCTCCCTTTGCAGATAAGGATGATAATACCCACGTGTTAGGATTAAATCTCAACAATATATGAAAGTGCTTGTGATGGTGCTTATCTCTCATTATATATTGATTTTTCATTCTGTGTTTTTTGCTTCCATAGAAGTGAAGGACCTCTATTTAGAGTTTTCACAAACACTATAATGGTATACAAAAAAGAGAGAAAACAAGAAGAAAGAAAAACAACTGGGATTTTATTGAGAAGGGCTGCGAATATAGATATGCTGAGAATGGCTTAAATTGAGATACAGACTACCTCCTGTGTTCTCCATTTTTTGAATTTTGAATTCTTTGGCTTCACAACTTTTTCTTAATTACAATTTTTAAAATTTTAACTTACTCATATAGACACCAGTGTTTCTTAATTTAAACTCCCTAACTTGCAAATCTCCATCCCATTCTTATTTTTAAAATTAAAGCAGGGATTTAAACTTTTTTTCATAACACTTCACATACAGGAATATTTTAAAGAGAAAAAAATGTTTTTAGTTATGTTTAAACTTTTCTGTTTGTTTAGAGATCTTAGGAACATGTGACCTTTGGTCTGTAAACTTCAATGCTTTATAAAATAGTCACTTTTTTAATTGTAGACTTTCAATCTCTAATATTTTGTTTTTAAAATAAAAGTTGTACATACTTATTATTTTAAACACTCCTTATATATTAGAATTGAGTTTAATTTTGATATATTCATGAATAACATTTTTTGAAAATTAAGTACCACAAAAAGAAAACAGCAGGTTTGGAATACAATATAATATATTTAAAAGGAATTACATGTGTTTTATTAAACATAGAAGAATTGTTTGGTTATTTGACAAATTAGAGTTACTTTATTAATTTCTACAATAACATGCATTTAGATTTATAAACAGTAGGATCACAGTATTACGTTTGATACATGAATTAGTAAAAGCTGTATTCATTAACATTTTCTTCTATATTATAAGAAAACAACAAAAGTTTTAAGGAACATTTTAAAAACAGATGAATTTGAAGATAAAGAATTATTTGTTTTATGTTTGGACACCTGCAAATAAAGTGGATCTAGTACCAATAACTGTAATGGACTGTGACAATTCAATTTATTTTTCATTTTGATGGTTGGGTATTTGGTTTCTTCTAAAATGAGATACACACACACACACACACACACATATATATATATATAAAACTACAAAAAATTTTCTAATCAGTTTCAGCTTTGCAGGGAGTTCTGTAAATAAATTGGGAAGAAAGACAAGTAAAAATGTGGTTAATGACACAGGAAGATTGTGTATTTATAATCTGCATGCTACTTTCAGTCTTTTGTTTTTCATCACTTGTAATAATAGAATGAAAATGTAATCTATAAATATTCTCAAATATAAAGTATTTGCTGCAATGTATATATAGCATATAATTTCTTGTTGCTGAACTTGCTGCTGTTTTCTTTCACACTGATTTAAGACCAGCACTTGAATGATCTTTACAGTCTTTACAGAGGCCTAGGCTGTGGAGTTCTCAGGGGAATGAGGGACAATACTTAATAGGCTTTTGTTTTCAAATATATGATTGCTCTAGGTTTTGAATAACATTGTCTAAGATTCATAATTAGCAAAGATTGATGGTTTGGAAACAATGGTGAATGAAACTGAAAGTGAAAAATGCTGCTACTGTGTCATCGATCAGATCACATGAACAAAAGTAATTGCAAAATACATTATTTCCAAAGAGGAAAAAATTTAGGCATTTGTAAATAATTAAGGTACATACAGATTCAGTTCTTTAATTTCTTATAACATGAACATGTATAGATGAAGAATTTTGGTGCTTAAACTTTTGGCTCCTAGAACTTTTGTACAAGCTCTTGGAATTTGTCACTCTGAATATTACTATTTTAAAAACAAAATTTTCTTCCAAGACAGTGCCAAAACATATTGCTGATATAAAGGTAAGTGTAAACTCTCCTTACTTCTGTACTCTCAGGTGCTCTCATCTTTGAGTCTATTGAGAAAGCATTTTAGGCCATATTTGCTAGAAAGTTTATTTTAAATTGAATTCTGAACTCCTGAAACCAGGACCATTTTGTTTCCTGGTCTTCAGGCTTGTTACCCAGTTTCAAGCTTGAAGTCCATGGCTGGTTTCCTATCTTGGTTA